TATATATATATATATATGAGAGAGATAGTCTAACTAAATTTTCTACTAAAATCATTTATCTAAAATGACTGCAATTAATGATCACAAATGTTTAAATAATGACAGTGGGTCTCGTTGAATGTGATAAGAATGTGTAGTGTGAAGTGGAATAAATATTAGTTTCCATTTGTGGTAGCTGCTAACTGAGATAAGGGATGAGATTAAATAAATCCTGGAACTTAGCCTGGTCTGGAGCAGGCTAGCTCCACAGAATAAATCTCCATGGTAACTTATGTCAAAACATATCCCACTTCCCCCTATCCTGCTTTTGTGAAACTGGATCAAGGATAAGTTGATCCAGGATAACCAAGATATCCCGGCTTAATCCCTTATCCTGGTTTTGTGAAACAGGCCCCTGGTCAAGAAGGCAGCATTAAATATTGTTACAACATGAACACACAAACAACATAAACAGATAGCGACAACTGTCACACAACAACTGGGGATACAAAAAAAATAAGAGTTAAGATATAAAACAGGTTTCAATACGTATCTAAAATAAAGAAAAACTATAAATTAGACGCAAAAGCACAAAATGTTTTCAATGTGTTATTTAAAAAACAAATCCATTTACCACTTATACTGAATAACTGCCACCATTTGACTTTGGGCACCAACCCAAACAAGAGCTTCACCAGTAGTGCTCCAGTCGGTCGACACAGGTGGTGAGTATAACAGTTTTATCACTTCTACAATGGTGCTTAATTTAGTTTCATGTTAGTGTGAAGCAGGATTCTGGACAAACATGAGTTGTGTGTACCAAAACCAAAAGAGTTTCACGAGACATAGCTGAGAAATATGAAATCAGAATTTGCAGAAGAGGCTGACACATAATGACAGGTGTGTCACTCAGCGTCATTGTTGCCATGATTACGAAACTGCGGTCAAGTGAGCCGCCCGCGACACGGATTTTTAATGCGTGTGTATTGGTGGTATTACGGTAGGGATGGTGAAAACAGTCAAAAGTGACAGAGACACACCTGTTTTTCAGCAACGCTTTCTCCCCTGTTTCTCCCATTGATATACCAGATAAACAGTGCATTGTATTGCACATTATATGAATTTCAATCACAAAGTATTAGAAGTTTTTCTACTGTACCCTTTTTAAGAGGAGCTCTAAATTAAAAATATCAACAAAAAAACCCCAAACTTTTACCTGTCACTAAATAAAATGCTCGTTATGTTATACGTTTTATAAATGGATTCTTGTTCTAGGTGACAGCCACTATGATCATGTTAATTTTCATACAATTTTACTGTCGAGTTTAGGAGAAATTTTCAGAAAAATTTCTGCTGAAACACATAAACAAATAAGATAAAGTAAAATAAAATAGATTTGTCAAAATCCTTGAAAAAAATCCTTTTCAGTTTGCTGTGCACTGTTTACATACCTGATTCTCTGTGAAATGAAGGTCCCATTTTTGACAGCATATAAAACTGTCATGTTCATAATCTAAACATTTTAACGGAATCCAATGTTCTTCCCTGTCCTCAATTAAGTCTTGTTGAGTTGTTTAGCAATCTGTCTGTAGAATACTTTTAATAACATAATAATCATATAATATTTTAGTTATGCTAGGCCGATGTAAAGACACAGATGTACAGACAGATTGAAAGAGAGCAAATACAACGACAATAATATCAAAGTCTTTCAGCCTATGTGAACTTCATATTTTACAGTGTCCTGCTTGAGCTTTTTAAGTTGTCCGTCACAGTTGTTCTCTTACGCCTCCTTTTACATTATAGTTTTGTGGATGTCTTTCTTTTTTCCAGAAACAACCTACTTTTGTCTACAAGATGACAACACCTTTTTTTTTCATTAATCTACACTCAGTACCCCATAATGACAAAGTGAAAAGAGAATTTTAAAAAAGTTTGCAAATTTAGTAAAACAGAAAAACTGAAATATCACACTGGCATAAGTGTTCAGACCCCTTGCAACAACACTTGAAATTCCACTCAGGTGCCTCTCATTCCCCTTGATCATTGCTCAAATGTTTCTACACCTTGTCCACCTGTGGCAAATGAAACTGACTGGACATGATTTGGGAAGGCACACACCTCTCTATAAAAGGCCTCACAGTTGACAATGCATATCAGAGCAAAAACCATGCCATGAGGTCAAAGGAACGGCCTGCAGAGCTCAGAGATGGGATTGTTCCAAGGCACAAATCTGGGGAAGGCTAAAAAAAAATCTGCTACACTGAATGTTCCCATAAGCACAGTGGTCTCCATAAATCTTAAATGAAGGAAGTTTGGCACAACCAGGACTCTACCAAGAGCTGGTTGCCCGGCGAAACTGAGCAATCAGCGGTGAGGGGCTTAGTGAGAGGTGACCAAGACCCAGATGGTGACTCTGACTGAGCTCCAGAGATCCTGTGTAGAGATGGGACAAAGTTCCAGAAGGACAACCATCATTGCTGCCCTCCAGCAATCTGGGCTTTATGGCAGAGTGGCTTGACGGACGCCTCTACTCAGTGCAAAACACATGAAAGCCCGCTTGGAGTTTGCAAAGAAGCAGCTGAGGGACTCTCAGAGTGTGAGAAACAAGATTCTCTGGTCTGATGAAACCAAAATTGAACTGTCTGGCCTCAATTCTAAAAGTTATGTGTGGAGGAAACCAGGCACAGCTCATCACCTGCCCAACACCATCCCAATAGTGAAACATGGTGGTGGCAGCATCATGTTGTGGGGGTGTTTTTCAGCAGCAGGGACTGGGGGACTGGTCAGGATTGAGGGAAAGCTGAATGGAGCAAAGTATAGAGAGATCCTCAATGAAAATCTGTTCCACAGTGCTCAGCACCTCAGACAGACGAAGAAAGCACACATGACCACACAGAAGTGGCGTAGGGACAACTCTGTGAATGTTCTGGAGTGGCCCAGCCAAAGCCCTGTTTTGAACCCTATCGAACATCTCTGGAGAGACCTGAAAATGGCTGTCCACCAACGGTCTGGTCTCAACTAAATACTGAGTAAAGGGTCTGCATACTGATGCCAATGTGACATTTCAGTTTTTCCTTTTAAATAAATTTGCAAAAATTTCTAAAATTCTATTTTCACTTTGTCATTATGGGGTACTGAGTGTAGATTAATGTGGGGAAAAAAAAGAATTTAAATGATTGTAGCATCAGGCTGCAACATAACAAAAGTGACAAAAGTGAAGGGGGTCTGAATACTGTCTGAATGCATTGTAAACAGTGCACAGCAATCTCAGGGGAATTTTGACTATTGTATTTTATTTTATTGTATCTTATTTCTATGTATGTTTCAGCAGAATTTTCTCTTTAAATTTCTCATAAACTCTACAGAAAATTGTATGAAAATAAATCTGGATGTAGTGGGAGTCATGTAAGCTATGAAGGATTTTTTGTTTTACTGAATATCTAATAGCCTATGTGGAAACTGTGATTAGATTATGTTGTATTTTGAGCAGACTTTACCTTTAAATTTATCATCAACTCTACAGTGAAACTGAATGAAAATTAATATGACCATAGTCGGGGTCACCTAGAACAAGAACCCATTCATAAAACGTATAACATGACAAGCATTTTATTTAGTGACAGTTAAAAGTTTTTTTTGTTGATATTTTTAATTTAGAGCTCCTCTTAAAAAGGGTACAGTAGAAAAACTTCTAATACTTTGTGATTGAAATTCATATAATGTGCAATACAATGCACTGTTTATTTTGTATATCAATGGGAGAAACAGGGGAGAAAGCATTGCTGAAAAACAGGTGTCACTTTTGGCCATTTTCACCATCTGTACTGCAATACCACGTATAGACACGCATTAAAAATCCGTGTCATGTGGATGTTATCCTTTTATTCCCACCCCGTCTGAATTATGCTGCATGGACACAGTGGTCCAAGGAGTTATCAGGAACTAGTGTTTAGGCTGTTTAGTACAGTAATTAGGCATTTAATTCCTCAAACGTGACAGGGGTTAGCCAGTTCAAGAGGCTGGCCGACATAGCCAAGCTGGTCCTGGTTCTGCCCCACACAAATGCAGATGCAGAGCGAGTCTTTTCTGTGGTGGGGCTGAATGAGACCAAAACCAGGAACAGCTTGGCCCTGGATGGAACCCTCTCGTAAATAATGACGATCAAGATGGCTGGCCTTGAGCCCTGCTTCAAGTGGAAGCCCTCTGCCACACTCATCAAGTCCTCAAAGGAGGCCACAAGCCAATATAACACTGCACACAAACAGGTCTAATTTAGATGTTTACATTTAAAGGCCACGAAAAGGACAGCTCACATGTCATAAGTAATATTATCAGTGAGTGGCTCTCATAGGAAGAGCTGTAGGTGAGTTTACAAGTGACGAATGTGGATGAAAAGTAATGGGATGGGTGAATGATGAGCTTTAAGGTTTTCCTGAAATCTCCCTGTGTATTCACATGTATCTGTATCTGCTTTGCACTTCTTTTGCACTTACCCTCTGTAAAAATCTTCAGAATATAGATAGAAATAAAACTGGAAAGTTTGGCGTATGTAAATATTAGTGACGTGGAGATGTTTTGATCAGAGTATGAAAAGAACCTTACTTTCAGAAAACAGCTTTTAAAGATCTGTACTGTAAAATTCCATACATTTTAAGACAGAAGATAAGACACTACGGTAATATTGTTAAACATGTATGAACTAAAATAAGAAGACAAACAGGTGAGATTAAACATGTTTATCTTTATTGAATAAATGATATTATATAGGAACCTGCATTAAATAAATCACAATATTGGTTTTACAGGGAAAGAAATGTGGAATAAAAATCCTTCTTCAGGCTTGTTTCATTAGATCTTTACCCACACTTTACCAGTAAATAAAATGCAGTCCATCAGAGTTCAACGTGAAATAGATTAACTGTGAGTCTTTATAGATTACACACACACACACACACACACACACACACACACACACACACACACACACTGAGCTGGACCCTGGAGCAGACTCAGTTGTTTCAATATTACATTCACTTTCATGCTGTTCACATTCCCCTCCCATTGTAGGCCTTGTTGGCAGAGCCCTCCGATCACTACGCTCTACCTCTGCCACCATTGTCTCTTAAACTCAGAACATCATGACATCACCTGAGTGCAAACACACCAACTTGAGCACAGATGGTGAAGGCATACACCATCATTTTTAGCTCCTAACTAGGGTAACAACAAAACATAATTAACAATGATTATGTGTTTCTTGATTCTGATTATACACTGATTATTGATACATTCAGTTGAGTAAAATATGAGTAAGTATTTCCCACAGAAAGCAAATCAGTCAGTTATTAGAAAGTGAGTACAAGTGCAATGAACAGTGAATGCAAAAATGAGTAGCCCACAACACCAATATTCATTCAAACATAATATCAAGAAGAATAGTGGAGTGACTCTTGTAGTTTCCAGAGCCCCATGCAGTCGTCATGATGGATCTACAGGACATGAACGAGACAGAACATACAGTGAGAAGAACATTTCTGCTGTCAACCTGGAAAACATAACAGTTTCCAGCTGATATACCTTGGCCTCGAGAAGTTAAGTGATTATGGCGAGGCCTTTCCATTCAGATCTGAAAATGAAAAGAAAGATAAACTTTGTCAACAATCTCATGTCAGAATAGGTGGAAAACCAAACAGCAGCTTACCTTGGCAGATGAAAGGCAGCTCTTTATGGCAGTCTTCGTCCAGCCACTTGAATTCTTGTGACTCTTTTACGTGGATGACCTTTCCACAGTGGTTGTTTAAGGGGTCGACAAAAGCGCTACTGCTCCAATGAGGTTCCTTTACTCTTTCCCCTGAAATCCACTGCCAGGGGACGTTTACACCAAAGATGGAGCGCTCCAGGCCGATCCACACTCCACCATCCAAGCCGCTCTTATTTTGTAGGACAGAGTTCACTGCGTCCTGCACTCGCTGGTTGGTGATTTGAACCAGGGTGGAGTTCTTGTTGTGGCAGTGCTGCAGGGCATCAATCCAGCTTTTGTGTTTCTGGTAGAACCGGAGACCTGCATCAAAGAGGTGACACTGAGAGTTTGTGCATGTCGCAACCAGGGGTGCTGCCAGAGATTTTAGACCCCATGAAAGAATATAATATTGGGCCCCCACAGATCATCCTTATAGGCTACATTGTTGTAACAAACCACACCTGCAAAACCCATTTGAGGACTTGAAATATTAATAATAAATGTATGTTTGCAGGCTGGAGTCTCTACTGTAGTCCCATGGTAATCACCTGACATGTAGTCTACTGGCATTGAGCATTGGTGTGTAACATGATTCATGATTAAATGAACTGAGAATAAAGATGCATCACTGATATTATTACCAACAAAAGCTGCACTATCATAAGTGGCCATAGGATGGCAGTATTTATTTAGCAGTGCCTTTCCATGTACCTGGTGTAAAACTGCTAACAGTAAAATCAAATCTCCAGTGAGATGGAGACCTATCTATTATTGTTGTTGTTATTAAAAAACTAAAACTATAGCTACTATCCATGAAATACTGCTCACCTTCTTCTTCCTCTTCCTCATCTGAGTGTTGGGGACGGGTCTGACCAGGAGGGACTGATGTTGGGTTCACTGGAGCTGTATCGACATGAATTGATTAAGGTAGTGATTACATTTTGGATGACTTAAAACCCTGAGGTCTGCACATACTACTGATGCACACTAACACTGTAATTGTGTATATGGTATACTATGATAGGGAAAAGGGAAATCTCACTTGGGGTTAGAATTTAAAGTGCTACCTTAAATACATCATTATTATTAGTAGTAGTAGTAGTAGTATTGGGAAAAACTATAGCTACTATAAGTGAAATACTTCTCACTTTGAAATAATATTTTGTTTTTCTTTTTGTGGTTTTTAAGGAAAAATTGTGGGACTAATAAAGACTGAACAGAATTCCAGTTTATAGTTTAACTCACCACAGTCGTTCCCTGAGACAGCAGCTGAATGAAAATATATCAACATGTCATATCTTGATGTCATCAGGAAACAAAATATATTGCTGTGGGGAAAAATGTAAAGCTGATCACAAATCTGTGTTGAATCAGATGTCCCATCAGTTATGTGCTGCTACATAGTGTTTTTAAAGTAAATATTTATCAAATGACAGAAATATGCTGGCTCATTATGTTTTCTATGGCCACAAGTCCACACAACAGATATTTAGTACTGTGTATAAAATGTGAAGTATTGGAAGGTGGGATCTTCAGTACAGAGTTTCCTGCAGTCAGCAATAGTCGTCACTTTGTGTTTGGGTTGACCTTTTGCAAAGGTAATACCACCTGACTCTGACCACCTCTACCATAGAGGATCAGCAATGCAACAAAAGTAGGCTACTGGTCGAGATACAAGTGTCATAGAGAGAAGAGAGTGAAACACCATAAGCTCCTGTTATTAACTCTGGGGTTCGGGTTGTGTGGGGAGCTCTCCGCGGTGCTGAACGGCTCCCGGAGGGCGTATTTCTACCTTGATGGTGCACCGAGACCAACACTGGGTCAGCTGGGAAAGGCTTGAGGCGAAGCAGGCTCAAGGCTTATGTGTTTGTCACTTTCTTTTTCATTTTAACCCACACCATGATCTTTTCCTAACCCTAACTAAGTGGTTTTTGTGCCTAAACATAACCAGACCTTAACCACAGGGCATCATGATGATTTCGGAACAACGGAACTTCGGAACAATGGGTAGACCACTTTTCGTACATCATAAGGCATCATATAATGACATTATTCAGTCATCAGGCCTTCACCTGTGTCACCTGTATTGTTACCTATGTTTGCTTTACTAATTTAGGCCCCATCTTGTGATTAAATAAAAACACACCTGGCAAAGAACAAACCAAAAAAATCAAATTCCAGTATCTCCAACAAAATATATCTAAGCTAAATAATACCATGAACTAAGCATGTAAAGAACAACAAATATTCCTTTTTTC